TCCAATAATACTTTACTGGTTTTCTATTGATTCCTTTTTTATAATATTTTATATGAAAATATTATTTAAATTTTTACAAATACAAATATAAATGTGTATCCTTATCTTTCCTTCCTTTATACAATGAATGTGGCATACTGTACACACAGTTTTGCCTCATACTTTTTTCCACTTACCATGTCGGAAGTCTTTATGTATTAGTATGTGAAGAACTTCTTCATTCTTTAACATAGCTACTGTCACCTTCAGAACTACGTGGTGCTCTTAATTCCTGGGTCTTGCAATGCAAATCAGTCTGTTGGGTTCCCTGACTTTAAGCTTAGGTTTCTGCTTTTCCCGCCCTGCTAAATCAATTCTAATGTTCATCTACCTTCCTACTTCTGAAATATTATTTTCATTTTGTCTGTTATCATCTCCTCTCCCATTTCCTTTATTCATGTAGATTTATGTCTTTTTTATTTCCTTACTTTCATTTTAGTGTTGTTTTGCAAGAAAGAGATGATAAATGTGTATATTCAACCCATCATGTTTAATTAGAATCCCTAGGACATCTTTTAACCAAGTAGTTCTTTTTCTTTCACCTTTTTCCCTTTCCCTTTCTTGCCCATGAACAACTCTCTAAAGTTATATTCAGAGGAAAAATAAAAATAAGAACTATAACTTTCAGATGATGATCCAATATATACTAGAACACTGAGAATTGGCTACATGGTCTTTGTGAGCAAAGCACAGTTTTGAGACCATAAAACCACACATGAGGGTCTCCTGCATCCAAGTGTGGCCTCGTGTTAGTGAGTAGAGTTAAGAACAGTTTGTCTTTGCCTGGAGTAGCAGCAAGAAGTAATTTAGTAATATGTAGGCTTCCCCACCATCAGAAGATAGCTACTCTCTGGAAGATTTGATACCCAGAATCAGACTAATGTCTCATGAAAATGAACACATCTGCCCAGAGGAAAATTTGGTTAAAAAGCAAAGCTGTTCCACAGTTTGAGTTTGCACTGTTTTTCTACAGACTTACTAGGTATCAAGTATTGAGGGGAAAACAGCATTATTGTCTCCTAGTTTCTTCTTTTTCCCATAGATTTACCTACTTGGGGTTTTTCCATGGGCTACCACTCAGTAATCACACAAAGAAAAAGCATTCTTCTTCACACTTGTAACACTCAAGCTTATTTGGAGAATAAAAAGTGTCACCAGTAAATCCATATAAATAAAATATAAATATCTTTTGTTTCCACTAGACCAGTCATACTATACTTCATATCTGCTTGACTTTTAATAAGATTTTCTTGACTGTAGAATGCCTGTATTTCAGTCAGTATGACTGAGAAATCACTTCCATAACCAAATTAAATGTTCAGCAAGTGTGTGTTATTACATGACGATTGCTTTTATTGTTTAAAGAGTGGTTTATATGAAAAAAGAATAATTTGCCTATTGGAACGAAGTCTTCAGTGTGGTTTGTGTGAAGATAATTTCCATTTCTGGTGAGCTGTTTAGTGGTATTGTTTTGTAACTTGACTATAGTTTTATCTAATTTTGGCTTGTGGTTTCTCTTCTGCTTAGGCATAATGACATCAATAGAAAAATGAAGAAATCCTACAGCATAAAGCACGTTGCTGAGCCAGAGTCAAAAGAACTCTTCCTATAAATCCAGTTTTTGTCTCCCACTGATGCTCTTTGGACACCATTGGAAATTTCTGGACTATTCTCTGTAGAAATAGAACTATGAGAACAATGCCTCACCAGCAGAACAACAGAATATCAGGATGCCTTAAATTTATAGTAGTAGACTATGTAAGATGCATTTGGGGGTGATATCTGTATATACAACTTGTTTTTTTAAAGAGATGCTGTTTAAAAGCATGATTGGGCAAATGTATGTTTTTTAAGATTGGATTGATTCAGCCCACCCACAGGACATTCACTAAGCCACTGATGCCATTTGTATTTCCTCAGTTGCATGAGTATTTGCTAATGTTGGTTGAACTTCCTTTTCCCCATAATATGGGCAGATTTGGCTTAATTCCTCGATGAGACCAGGTCAATGGTATTGTTTTCTGTCAAGAGTGTTTTTTCTGTCATTTCTACTTTTTGTACAAAGGAAATAAAACAATGTTAACAGCCACCTATAAGCTTGGGGCACCTACTTTCTAACAACTCTGTGATGTTCTGATTTTGAAGGGACTTTGCAAATATTTTGATTGCTGATATCTGATTTCAGGAACAAACTGCCCAGCTTAGCTGTTTTCCCACAGGGGTCAAATAAAACATTCTATATTTTATTAAGCACTAAAGGATCAGACAAGTATATAAAAGTAAGTCAATTCCTTCTGCCTTTTCAAGTCTCAGCGTTGACATGGGAAAATACTAAGGACGACTAAGGATCTAGCCCCTTCTTAGGTCACTTTTTTCTGCCTTTAACACATTATGAGGCCTGTCTAATCCCTTTAGGAGACAGTGTGGAGCCTGGGTCCATAACAGCCCTATTGTTGATGCCGCTCTTTCAATTTATGTAAGCAGTGAGTTCCAGAAGGTTTCCTCCTATCATGTAAAAATATATTTCTGCTGAAACTTCAAGAGTTTTATTTTCAAAGTGTTGGCATGGCCTATGAGAGGCCTGTCAGGTTTTAGTTTGCCGGGAGAGCGCCTCTCCCCAGTCAGAGGGAGCACTACGTGCTGTGACAGTTACCAGCAATGCTGCCGCAGTCGCGTCAGTCAAACGTGAGCCTTTCCGTATCCTGGCGCACAAAGCAGACCAAATTACTGAATTAGGAGATAATCTCGCATATGTGTGTCATCTGACAGACGTGGGCTGGATAAGATGCAAGATATAGAAGGCAGGTATAGGCAAAGAAGAAGGAGCTAGTATCTGAGTGCTTTTTATGTGCAGTAGTGGTGATATTACTACTCCCCTTTCGTAGATTACAAAATTAAACTTTGGAAAGTTGAAGTCCTGTTTCCAAGGCAACATTGCCAGTAAATAACATAATTAGACTTGGTCCAAGTTTACTCATTATCCCCGATGCTCTAGTGACCCTGCACTGTGCTATCTCCTTTGTGCGATGACCACTGGACTGGCACACGGGAAGGATGAGCTCTGGCGTCGGCTCTTCTGCTGGACAAAGGGGCGAGACGGGCCTACCTGCATACCTAAGAGGCAGGTTTCTTTCAACTTGTGCAGCAACACACCCGTGAATTTCAGTTCGTGTGCTCTGTCCTTGCTTGGGTCCATGAGTTGCTGCTGTTAGAGCCCGGTGCCATGTGTGGTTCTGCATTTCTCACATGGCCTTTTCCTCAAATGAGATGCCCTGTCTGTGATTTTTGTCCCCTTGGCCTTATCTGGCCTCTTTGATTGTCTCTTCACATTTCACTGCTATGTCCTGTTGCTTGAGATTCTAATGGAGACCACGTGGCAAGTACATGTGAAATGTGGATTCCTGGGTTGTCTGCTTGGTGCAGAGGAGGTGACACTATAGTCACACACTAAGCCAACATTTGGAACTTAGCCCAAAATGGAGCCTCAAAGGAAGAGGACCCAGAGAGTGTTCTCTGTCTCCCAGAGGCCCCCGGTTTGCTCTTACACAGTGTTTTTATACGTGAAAGATGAATGAGGGTGGGCATTCTGCAGAGATTTCAAAAGCCAGAGTCCCCAATTAAACATAGTGAAGCAAATTTCAAGAGTTTAAAAGAGAGAGATGCTACCTTGACCTAGAAAACTCTGGCAATGCAATCATTTAGTGATATTAGCATTTTAGACCTCACAGTATTAAGTAGAGAAGAGCAAAGAATAAAAAAGGCAAAATAGGAAAGTTGAGCAGATTCAGATCAGGAAGACTGCAAGGCAATGTTTAACTATGTTGCTAGGAGACTGAAAATGCCGGCCCTTAAACTATACATGTACTTATCTTTACTGCCCAAGTTCCTTATGAAATGGATAAATTACGGTTGCTGAAATCAGTAGAAATGATGTTTTCCTTACCACAAACTTAGTTTTATGCAGCATTTTAAAAATGAGAATACAAACTCTTGTTTTTCCATAGAAATCCAGACACATTTACATGTTAAAGAAAGAGAGAGCGTTTCCTTTTAGCAAGCAGAGCTTTGGGGCCCCCGCCCCAGCTGCCTCCCATTGGGCTAGTAAAATGAGTAAAGCTCTATCTGCATGCCTAATTACATGCAGCAGGGCAGGAAACTCAGGCCCGTTGTAAAAAATAATCACATCTGTCAGCATCTTTTAAAGATTGGCTTCTTTTATGTCACTAAAGGGACTTGTATTGCCAAAGTTCAACACAGCAAATTAAGAATGTTTCTTAGAAAAGATACCAAGACACCAAACTGTCACCACTTTGAATGAATTGAATTCCCATTATTTATTCTTATAAAACAGTATCAAGACTGCAACACTAATAAGAAAGTTCTAGATGTGCATGATGGGATTGGGAGTGTGGATGGCACTCTCAAAAGATACGTTCAAGTAAGATTTTAAGAATTATTTTTTTTTTCTCAGAGTGAATAAGTATAAGTGACATGATAGTACAGGCTAGAGGAAATAACTGTAAATATTTAAATAATTCCCTAAAAGACTCTTTAATACAAACTGTGTTAAATGCTTTTTCTTCGGTGGCCACCTCTATGCTTGCTGTTAACTTCATAGAGCTAAGAGAGCAGAAGGAACACGATTATTGCAACAGGGTTGGTACCATTTCCCCATAAAAATGGAGTTCGTGCTGTCCACAGCCCGTAACTCTCACTTGTTGATAGGTCTGTCGTTACGTCCTGTGTTTTCTCTGATATCATTTCCTTTTATTCTTTAACTATTGCATAGTTTTATGTAACTTTTCAAGCACTTGACTCCTGTCTCCTAAAGAGACCAAACATTTGTTAATCTCAACAGAATCTTTGTATCACCTTTCATAGATGGCAGGTTAGTAAATATCTACTAAAACTTTCTTTCAATGCCCTAATAAACCATCTTTCTTTTCATTTTTTCTCCATTCTTCTTGTTCCATCCCTTCCTCATTCTCCTTTTCTTTCCCTCTTTTTCTCCCTTTTCCCTTCCTTCCTTTACTCCCTCTCCTCCCTCTTTGCTGTCATATTCCCTCCTTTTTTGTTCTCTCTTCTCTGCTTTCTGCTCACAAGATCTCTAAACTCCATGTAGAAGATCTTCCTTGGAAGAAACCTGGCAAAGGAATTGCAGTACGTAGAAATGTGCTAGACCTAGGTTTTCAGTGAGAAGTAGGTCACCGTCTTTCCTTGCAAATGCATGTGAGTGGGACAAACATCTTTCCATACGCTGATATATTCAACGAACTGTGATGTAGCCCATGCCAGGAATGAAGCTAGGCACTCTACTCAAATAAAAAAGACCCAGAAGTTGGTATCGACTATAGTGGGGATGTACAAGGATACATAAGTCTACCAAATTGTGCATTTGGGGAGACTTGTAGAAAAAAACTATTCCAATCAGTTTATGGAAGTGGTTCTCAAATTTTGTTGCCCATTAGAATCACCTGGGGGAGCTTTTAAAAATCGGATGCCTAATCTGAACCCCAAACAAATAAATCCAGCTCTCTGGGGTTGAACCCGGGCATCAGTGTTTGTAAAACCCCTACACTTTCAGCCTACGACCAAGTTTTAAAACCAGCTCCTTGCTAACCCAAAATGTGGTCAGGAATCATCAGCATTGACATCAGCTGGGGAACATGTTAGAAATGCAGAATCTTCAGACATTTACCGTGGCCTCCATTTTTAATTTTGTGATGCTTTAAACTGTCTTTTGAGAATATTTGAGAACAGTTTGACCAAAAAAAAAAAAAAAAAAACAACCATCAAAGAGAGAAGAAGAGTGATATACCCCTATACTTGTGGTAGGCTGTGGAGAAGAACCTATTAGGTGTTTTTAAGGTAATGTGTGTACAGTTTGAAAAATCATACTAAATGCTATAATTTCATATGTGGGAAATTTTTAAAATCATATAATTATAGAAAATGAAGCTTCTTTTCTGGGGGGCAGAAGTAGAAGGCAGAACAATAATTTTTCAATTCAGTATGGGGTCGTTGCACTTTGATGTTTAGTTATAATGTGGCTAGGTCTTCAATTGTTATACAATATTTCCCTAAATTTCCTAAAATCTGTGTTGGTAGAAGTCAAATCACCAGAAAACTACCCATCTGGCAGTGGCACAACCAAGACCAAGTTAAAGCAAAGACTAAAACCCACTCTCGGTACCACTTCCCAACCGCTACTGCAGGGGCTCTTTGTGATACGCCAGCAAGATATATGGTATTGTATGACCTCATTGCTCAGTACAGTGTTAGATTGTATGTCATATACGTTATTTTGTTGACACACCTAACACACACACATTGAATGCCTATCATGTGCGCAGCTCTGTCTCAAATGGTGGAAGTAAATCGGTGATAATAAATTCATAAGAAGTGCTTTTGATGAAATGTGGAAAGTCTGAAACAGGATAAATTTGAAAAGTATGGCAAGCTGTTGTGATGTTGTACTCATATGTGTCTGTATATTTTATATCTATTTTTTCCTATAAAATTTGTCCTCACAATTGTTCAACCAATTAGGAACAATGAAGAAAGAATTTAAATTCTATTATTTGTGGTAGAAAATGCTAGTTGCCTTCTCAATACCCTGTCTCCCTTACTTCCTAAGTAAGGGAACCCAATTAAATGTTACCTTCCCAGGTGCCCTGGAAACTAGGAATGGCCATGTGACTCAGTCTAGCCAATGAGAGGTAAGCAAAGTCCATAAAGTGGGGCTTTAGAAAATTTTGTAGAGGAAGAAGCTTACCTGGCACTCACCTTTTTCCCCTTTGGAGTAGAGCAGGACCTCTTTAGCCATGAGGACAAAAGTCACATGCCAAAAAAAGGAAACGAGGGAGGGGGGAAGAAACCTGGTTCTCTCAGCCACTGCATAAGCTCTGAACTGTACCCCATGTTACTTATTGAGAAAAATAAACTCTCTTAATTGATAAATCACTGATATCTGGCTTCTGGTAGAAGCAGCCAAATATAAAATCTAATTGTTGTGCTCAGTTGACAGAATACAGAGTACGCATCTAGGTCATTAGCCTAAAGCAGGACTTCACAAATTGTGTTCTATTCACCACTAGGTCTAGGGGATGTTTGGCT